CGTACACACAGGTGCATATACATACATACATGCTTACATAGTCTTTTTTTTAAGTTTTATCATCGGCTATCGAATATTCAGATTGTATCACTAGTCTTTTGCAATTTATTATGCCATGGCTGAATATGATTTCAATATAAATCTAACGCACACAAATTTCTCTGTGTTTATGTCTGTTTGTTGATATTTATGTTTGTATGCCACGCGAGTGCTGTGGTCATTGTGTTTATGTTTGTATTGTTGTGTTTGATTTTCGTTTGCTGTGTGTGTTAGTCTGTCTGTATGCCAGTCTTTCTTTTGTCTATATGTCAGCGCGTTTAGTATATGCGTCCGTGCGAGCGTATATGATTATGAGTGATATTAAAGCATTTATTAATGTCTCCCAGGACACAAATAATACGACTTTTCGATCAGTAAACCAAAAAATTACGAACCTAAAAAAATCTGAACATCGGTTTGCGTCGCGTCGACCATGGATAAAGGCCTTTAGATGGAGGTGTGTGTTTCCCAGGCGAGAATATGGTGCTCATGGGAGACTATAAAATATCAGTCAGTGGCATTGTTGAAACTAATCTATATTTCCTTCTGTGGTTTATTTTTTAGTGTATTTATAAACTGTATGTTGTGTATATTACACTTTTTTATGCGCGGCAGAGAATCATTTGTGAAACATGGGATTAATTCGTGTTTTTCTTCTTTGTTGGTTGTTTTATTATGTAAAGTTAGTGTTATTTATTTGTCATTAACTTTTATACAAGAGGAAGAGTTCCATGCGTGTAGATATTTGCTGAATGTGATAACTTTATCAACAGATTTTTTGCAGTCTCTTATTCTTTTTGTTTCGTTCAAATCTTCCTTTTCATTCGCCACATTCTATTGTCTCACCGCTTCCCCTCTTTTCGTATTTCGTCCCCTCATTTCTCTCCCCGTGTCACCTTATTTTTTGTCTTTTTTCCTCCTTCCTCTCTCTCTCTCTCTCTCTCTCTCTCTCTCTCTCTCTCTCTCTCTCTCTCTCTCTCTCTCTCTCTCTCTCTCTCTCTCTTTTCTCTCCTCACTTCGCCGTCTCCCGTTAAACCCATCGCCTTTCTCTCTCCTTATTCCTTTCGCTCTCTCCCATCTTTCTCTCCCTCTGTTCGTTTCCCATTTCTCCCTCCGAGCCTCGCCGTCTCTCGGTAAGCTCCCTGCTGCCTACCGATATCTTTTGTTACGTCGCTTCCCAGTGTCTTTCCGTAACGGGCACTCTCTCCTGTCGCTCATCCTCCCTTCTTTTGTCCGGATAAGGAATTCGCACATTCATACCGCCGCGTCATCAGTCCTTCATGGTAGAGGTGAGGTTATGGTGATGAGAGGCTGTGAGAGCGAGACGATCAGGGATGTTCATGGTATTTTGATGGCGTTGCTTTGGATGGTGATAGTGATGGTGACGATTGTGATATTTTTATGTTATTTTATTTATTTTAGATTATTCGTTTTGGAAGGGAGTTGGTAGTTGGTAGCTGGGATTATTACTTTTTTTTCTCCCTTTTATTCAAGTGTAGTTTGATCGTTTTGGTCGAGTTGGATTTTGTGTCACACTTTTCCCCCTCCGTCCTCTGCGCCATTCTCTGGTAGCTTCCTGGTAATTTCCTTGTTGCTCATCTCCCAGGTAAAGGCAGACATCTCCCGTCTCGCCCGGATTCATTTCCCGCCGCCGTCCGCTGTGCCGCCGTGATCCCCTGCCGCCTTCCGTCGTGTGGCGGCGGCGCGGGCGGGGGCTCCTTCGGTCTTGGGGGAGGGGGAGGGGGGGCCTCTTGCCCTTGGGGAGGGGGCATTGATGGGAGAACTTATAGTCGGGGGGAAGCACGCCTGTCACGCTTTCTGAAGAATCTTTTTTTCGACAATCAGAAATCTGCAAGTTACTACTAATAACATGCGGTGTCATTTCTGCACTCGTGCAAGTACTGCTTATCTTAACTTTAAATTCATTCACATGCGGTTGAATCTTGAACTAACATTAGCTAAAATACTGGTAACACCCGCGCGTCCCCAACTGCGCATCCGAGGGCGCCGTCGGCAAGGAGCGAGCGCCGAGTGTAAGTCTGCGAGGCGCCAGCAACCATCCGTCCGAGCCTGAAGGACCTGCCCAGATGGTTAACAATGGGTTACTCTTGTTAGTCCGGATTATACTAAACACAATGGCTCGCACTACAATACGCCCCCCCCCCCCCCCCTCTATCTCCGCGCTTCTCTCTTATACCCTCCCTCTTCTGCCGGTCCGCCAGCTCTTCGCTCATCTATTACCTTTGGCCACTTTATCATCTCTCTTACTGTTCCCTTATTTCTACGCGTCTTCCGGTGCTCATTTGTATATTCGCGCAATATTCAGGGACTGTTTGCCCTCTCGTTAGCACCGGGCATCGTTAATGTGACTGTGCATTCGCTTTGTCAGTATTGCCGCGAAGTCGGTCATTTGCGAGACCCGCCCGAGGCACAGATCGTGGCGGGTTCGGGTCGCCTTGTCCGAAGCGCACCTGCAATTTGCGAGGCTACCTGTCCACGGCGACCAATCCCCGTCCGACGCTCGAATCCCCAGCCACTCGCCGCCCTTCATGCAGGCCTCAACCAATTGGTGTTCGCCATGCGCGGGTCGACCAATCATTGTTCGGATCACTTTATTCCGCAGCCAATCTGCGGGTACTAAGAATTAATGACCTTGTAGGAAGCTTCATTAATAAAGGTGGATTGGTTGGTTTCGGGTAATTGCTAACGCTGTGACTGCTAGCTAACGTGAAATTACACTGTGGTTATCTTTCATTTTTTTTGTTTGCTATTGTTTAAGCATGATTCAAGGGGTTATTTATGTGACGGATTGGCAGTCTGCATCGGGGTCTACCCTCGCTTTTTATACATCGTTCATTATTTCATTCACGAAAGCAATATTACCATATCTAGGGTCCTTCCCTTTCCATCAATTCGTAGCCAAAATCTTTCCGAATTCGCCCGCACCGCTGTTCCAACGAGGGGTGCGCCTCCCCCCTCCCGAAGCTTTTCCGAACGCGACTTCCTCTCGCCGTTCGCTCCTGCCTTCCGTTCCTCAGCCCCCTTCTTAACTCTACGTAATGTGACACGCCGCCTGAAATAACGACTCGGCCCTAATATTTACTAAACTACACCTACCGACCCTTTGTTATTACGATGGTAGGAAAGACAAGTAGAGAATTATTGGATAATTGGCCTCAATTAAGTATAATAATGAAGGTTCTTCCTTGCTCATTAGTGTTCCTCATTAATGAAGACTTTGTTGTGGTTGTGCAATATGTCTCATTTTTGCTTTATTTACGAACAATAGAGATGCCCGGTGAATGTATAATATTTAGGTAAAGCCTAATGTATGCGGACGCTCATTTTCCCGGAGTCAAGAAAAGGAAAATGAAAAACTCCCGCAGCTTTTGGTGTAACAAATGGACGTCGCGGCGAAATTACATTAGTTTTAGACACTGATAACACGCCATTTTTACCATAAATTGTTTTGATGCCCTGAATTACAACGAAATGTTTGTGTTTTGTGCATATACTGTTACAAAGTACGTACATGGAGTAGTCAGTTCAATGTTTTCTCCACCTTTCTTGTTTCCCCTCCCCCCCCCCCTCTATCTCCGCGCTTCTCTCTTATACCCTCCCTCTTCTGCCGGTCCGCCAGCTCTTCGCTCATCTATTACCTTTGGCCACTTTATCATCTCTCTTACTGTTCCCTTATTTCTTGTCAGTAGTATGCCGCGAAGTCGGTCATTTGCGAGACCCGCCCGAGGCACAGATCGTGGCGGGTTCGGGTCGCCTTGTCCGAAGCGCACCTGCAATTTGCGAGGCTACCTGTCCACGGCGACCAATCCCCGTCCGACGCTCGAATCCCCAGCCACTCGCCGCCCTTCATGCAGGCCTCAACCAATTGGTGTTCGCCATGCGCGGGTCGACCAATCATTGTTCTGGATCACTTTATTCCGCAGCCAATCTGCGGGTACTAAGAATTAATGACCTTGTAGGAAGCTTCATTAATAAAGGTGGATTGGTTGGTTTCGGGTAATTGCTAACGCTGTGACTGCTAGCTAACGTGAAATTACACTGTGGTTATCTTTCATTTTTTTTGTTTGCTATTGTTTAAGCATGATTCAAGGGGTTATTTATGTGACGGATTGGCAGTCTGCATCGGGGTCTACCCTCGCTTTTTATACATCGTTCATTATTTCATTCACGAAAGCAATATTACCATATCTAGGGTCCTTCCCTTTCCATCAATTCGTAGCCAAAATCTTTCCGAATTCGCCCGCACCGCTGTTCCAACGAGGGGTGCGCCTCCCCCCTCCCGAAGCTTTTCCGAACGCGACTTCCTCTCGCCGTTCGCTCCTGCCTTCCGTTCCTCAGCCCCCTTCTTAACTCTACGTAATGTGACACGCCGCCTGAAATAACGACTCGGCCCTAATATTTACTAAACTACACCTACCGACCCTTTGTTATTACGATGGTAGGAAAGACAAGTAGAGAATTATTGGATAATTGGCCTCAATTAAGTATAATAATGAAGGTTCTTCCTTGCTCATTAGTGTTCCTCATTAATGAAGACTTTGTTGTGGTTGTGCAATATGTCTCATTTTTGCTTTATTTACGAACAATAGAGATGCCCGGTGAATGTATAATATTTAGGTAAAGCCTAATGTATGCGGACGCTCATTTTCCCGGAGTCAAGAAAAGGAAAATGAAAAACTCCCGCAGCTTTTGGTGTAACAAATGGACGTCGCGGCGAAATTACATTAGTTTTAGACACTGATAACAAGCCATTTTTACCATAAATTGTTTTGATGCCCTGAATTACAACGAAATGTTTGTGTTTTGTGCATATACTGTTACAAAGTACGCACATGGAGTAGTCAGTTCAATGTTTTCTCCACCTTTCTTGTTTCCCCTCCCCCCCCTTCCCCCATCCTGTACTTCAGCACACTCACTTCCCCCTTCCGTCTCTCCCCCAGAACTCCATCCGCCACAACCTGTCGTTGCACAACCGGTTCATGCGCGTGCAGAACGAGGGGACCGGCAAGTCGTCTTGGTGGGTACTCAACCCCGATGCCAAGCCGGGCAAGTCCACGCGCCGCCGTGCCAACACCATGGAGGGCGGCCGCTACGAGAAGAAGCGAGGCAGAGTCAAGAAGAAGCTTGAGGTAAGGATCAAGGGTTCCTTTTTGTTAAGATCTCTCGAGGAGGACTTCGAGGCCTCAGAGCAAAATCATGGTGTTTGGCTGGCAAGGATTTCTTTCCGGATTATATTAATAAAAAGTTCCCAGTCTCTTTCTTTGGCTCCTTTTCCTTTGAGGAGAGGACGGCGCCTCCTAGGTGACGTACTAACGCCCGCCCCCGCCCCCCACAGGCGCTCCGGAACGGCCAGGAGATGACGCCGTCCCCGTCGTCGTCGCTGAGCGAGAGCCTGGACCTGTACCCCGACTCCCCCCACACGCACCCCGTGCACAGCGCGTACAGCCAGCTCTCTCCGCAGGACTACCGGCCCAGGGCCTCCTCCAACGCCTCCTCCTGCGGGAGACTGTCCCCCATCCCCGCGATAGAGTCCGATATGCATGATTCACAGGTAGGCGAGGTCGGGGCGGGATGGCTGCAGTGCGCGAAGAAGTCTTTGCGTCTGCCGCCGGAATGTTTCTTCTTTATGATGAATGATTTTGGTTATATTTACACTTATAGGCAAATCGTAGCTAAGTCATTGTATTTGAATGTGCCTTAAAACTTCCCGATGCTGTCCAAGGTACCGCCCATGTCCCCTGGCATCGGTGGGTGGGGCGGAGAATACTGGCCCCACCACGCCCACCCGCACCCGCTCGCCCACGACCGGTATGCCGACCAGTTAGTGGACTCCATGGGCGAAGGGCTGAAGCTCGGGCCGGACTCCTGGGGCGGCCCAGCACGCCCGCCCAACCCCCAAGACTGTATGAAGATGTCACAGCTGTCCCCGCACGGCCCGCCCACCTCGCACATGAACGGCTACGTCACCCACCACCACCACAACCACCACCCGCAGGTAAGGCCGCCTCTGGCCGGAATCACAACCATTATTCACGAGTAGCATTCCGGTGCCCTCGCCGCGCAGAGGTAAGCGTGCGTGCGAAGGCTTTGGCGATTTAATTGGAATCCTGTTTTAGACAATGGAGCGTCGCATCCTTTGTCACTTGCCAAGGATATTCAGCTTTGCCAGTGAAATGAACAGCGCATCAGGGCAAAAGTAACGGGAACAGGGGGCCGGTGACAGTGCAGGAGCCCTAAACCGACTGTTTTCTTCTTCTCTCAGGGCTTCAGTACCTTTGAAGATTTTCGTTTCAACCCCCACAACCCCCACGGGCCGGCCTTCCCCCACCCGCCCGCACAGCATCCGCCCACACCCCACCAAGACAAGATGGCAACGCCCACACGCCCGCATCCACACAATAACTACTCCCTGACCAGTCTACAGGTACGTTCAGCAGCCATCGATTTCCATGGGTTGAGGTTCACTAACGAGTAAGTTTGTGTGTAGCCAACTTAACCTTGAGTGCGTGTATCGTTCCCATACCCTCACGTGCGGACGCTGGCGTATGTTAACCTCTCTTCTAATTCCTGTCTCTTCACTGCATGTACTATTCTCTTCCATACTAAATAAAAGACATAGGCTGTTGATACGTTGATCCATAGTAACCTGGGTGTAACGGCATTAATGTAGTGGTAGACTAACGACGTAACATTATTTCTCTCATTGGGTCGAAGTCGGAATTCATTCATACATCGTCAGGCAGTATTTTTTTTTTTCTTCTTCTTCTAAAAATTAGATGGCTAAATAAAAACATGGGTTACATATCTATCCAGGAATGTTTATCTACAGATATCAGTACGCCATACCGATGTGCCTTGGATGCATAAAACAAAAAAAATAAATCCCTATATTGTCCCGTTTCTGTATAAAGATAGATCCCCTAGTTATGAATCTCTGTCTTGAGGAGCCACCCCTTTCATCCATCCATCACCATATGCAGTCTAAAATAGTATATGCTTTATTCGTTATTCATTTTAGTTTCGTATTTTCCATTTCAAAAGCGTTCCTGTTATCGTTATGATAAGACTCATCCCCATTATAAAAAATAGCTTGAGTAAACATACCCTCTTTTAACCCTACCTGGAAAACGTTGACTATGAACACTGTAGTTGCTCTCGGCGAATTTCACTTCACAAGAATACCTGCCGTGAGCTGCTGTGGGCAAGGTGTAGAAGTAATGAGAATGAGAAAGATGATAATGATAATGGTAATGGTAGTAATGCTGGGAATGGTGATTATGATAATGGCAATTATGATGATAATGATAATGGTAATTATGATGATGATAATGATACTACTACTAATAATTATGATGATAATGATACTACTAATAATAAATATGATGATAATGATAATGATACTGATAATTATGTTATTTATAATGATGCTGATACTGATGACAATAAAAATGATAATAATGGTGATAATAAAAATGATAATAATGGTTATAATTATGATAATGATGCTTGTTATAATAATAATGATGATGATAATGATAATAATAATATTAATAATAATAATAATAATAATAATAATAATGATAATGATAATAATAATGATGCTTATTGTAATGATAATAATAATAATAATAATAATAATAATGATAACGATGCTTATTATAATAATGATGATAATAATAATAATAATAATAATAATAATAATAATGATAACAATAATAATAATAATAATAAAGGTGATGATGATAATAATAGTGACAATGATAATGATAATAATCATGATAATGAGGATAAGGATAATACTGAAAATGATGAGGATGAGGATGAAGTTAACTAACCACTTTGCATTTCCTGAGACCCAGCTTTGCAACATTACCTACCACTAACAACCCCAGTAGAAGATACCGCGAGGTTGCAATGCCTGGGAGTCGGTATTTTTTGTTATTTATTTGGTCTTTCTAGTGCATCTTTAATAGATTATGCATAAACATGTAACCCTTCAGCTTGAAAAAAAATGAAAGATAGATAATAGCTGATAACGTTTGATTTTTAATGTAGTATAGATAATATTGTGAAATGACCGATTAACTGTCTTGCATAATCTGATGATTACTTTGAAAACGTAGTATATATTCTTTTCTCATAAGTTTGGTTACATCTGTTTTTATTTTGTTTTGGTTATTCTTTATCATTTCTTCATCAGCGCTCTTTCGTCAAACTGATCTGTTCCTAAGGATATCTGACCAAACTTATTGACAAAAATAACCATATCAGCATTAAGTTAATACAGTGTGGTTCCTGCGGGTGGTGATTGGTGTGTTATGGTGGTGTTTCAGGCCTTGTCCCCGGCACACAGCGTCCACAGTCTGTCGCCCACGCAGCCACTTGGGGAGGGGCACTACCCAGGGCCCGGAGGCGAGGCGCACCAGCCCTCCAACTTCCCTTCCACCCCCACCTCACAGCCACAACACACTCACTCCGCCCACACTGCCCTCTCGGCGTCCAACAGTGAACCTAATATGCTCAGGGCAGCATTAACCCACCGTGAACAGCAGCAGCAGCAACAGCAACAACAGCAGCAGCAACAACAACAACAGCAGCAGCAACAACAGCAACAGCAGCAGCAGCAGCAGGGCCACAATAGCAGTCCAGGGAGTGGTAGCGCGGGCGGCGGCGGTCAGTCGGGTCACAACGGAGCGTCCGGTGGTGGGTCTGGTGGTTCTGTGCCAATGCAAGACTTTGTGGACTTCGACACCCCGATTCAGGGTGGCTTGGACTGTAACGTAGAGGAGGTAGGGGCCATGCGTTATACTCAGCCTTTGTACCTGTACCCTCAGATGGGGACTTGAATGATGCACACGAGTCTCCAGGAGTTGGAAAGCTTTGGGTCACCCACTAAGATAAGCCTACATTTAAGGGTAGCTGGCCTAGAATCACCTTTCCCCCAACAAAGCATAGTCTTAGGTTCTGGTCGGGAAGTATCATGGAAACGTCTTATGTTATTTTTTACTAGGAGAAATGTTCAGTAGCCATTGTTGCAGTTTAATCAATACCCTTCCTCATTAGAAGTTAGAAGAGCTACCTTTAGCAGACTTAGGCTCCCTCCTTTTTCTCTCCCTTGCAAATGATGAACCATGCCAGTACTCTGCACCTCCATCACTATCATCACACACATACCTCCTCATGAGAAGAGATTCGGGTGTAGGCGTGAGTGTAGACAGCGACGCCGTGTGCATGTGCTCACGCTCGCCGCCACGTCAGACAGTATGATTTCCGATTCTTCCTTGTGTGTATGGTCAAAAAATGAGGCTACGGGAACGATAGCTACGTCACTTTTGCCTTAGGTTGTGCTGGTTACTGTTAGGATCGTGAGTCAAGATTCTAACCACATGATTATTAGGGAAACGTGTCACAGTTTGCCCGTAAAGACCCTTTCCATTAGATCATTTGTTTATTTTATTTTTACTGTTGTTGTCCCCCAAGGGATTGTGTGACAGTCGGTGCTCTAACCAGCTCCTGGGCTTTTCAGGTGATCAAGCATGAGCTACAGGTCGAGGGGAACCTGGACTTCTCCTTCCCACAAGCTCATCACGGACACCACGCCCACGCACATGCCCATGCACATGCCCACGCCCACGCCCATGGGCACCCTGACACCCCTCAGATGGCCGTGCCCTCGGGGATGCCCTACCCATGCTCGTCCATCGCAGCCGGGAACCAGTGGGTCCGCTAGAAAGGTTAGTAATGAGATATTGATCTTGTTCTATACTACATATTACACATAACACCAAGCCTACTCAGAAAGCAAAAAGCGTCATCACATACGACACAACGCCCACTCGCCACAACCATCACGAGTGTCAGCACACCCTTGACTCCGTGGGCATGCTGCGCCAGGTGGAGGCGGGACGGCAGAGGCGCAGGAGCGGACGGCAGTGACCGGCCCATCAGTGGATGTGTTCAATTATTCCAATGTTTACCTATAAGCCATGATTCATCGTCGGTCCAGCCCGCGACACCCTGTTTGTTCCTGTTTGTCCCAGCGACGCTTGCCTCTACGCCTACATTGTTTAACTGACGGCTTGTTTATCCACTCCGCCCGGCAAGGTATATAAATATCGCTTGTAATATTAATCCATGGCCGACCATCGTACATTGATGATGGCTGCTACGTTACAGAGACAAATTGTGTGCTAAAGTTCAACAATTAATCAGACCAGGAGAATCGTCAGCTCCCTCTATCCTCCGCCCTTACTTCCGACCCCCCTTCCCTACAGTAGAGAGGGGCTACTCCTCCGCCGGCCAGTCTCCCCCTCTCTACGCCCCACCTTTCTTATTATCTCTTATGCCCCACCATCTCCCCCCCCCCCTCCCCACGCACTCCTCTCAGACGGCCCGTAATAGGCCTATCTTTTTTTCATGTTTCATTAATGGGATTTTATCTTGCGTAAAGATCAGCGTTAAACTTGAATTTGCCATTTACTACATCTTCTCCGGATGATCTCAGAGCATTCCTGAGTCATCCTTTACCATTCCTTCAAAATTTCCGCTTTGCAAATTATAGATATAAAACGCCAGTTCAGCTCGCCTCGTGAGCGAGTGTTCCCCGTGGTGCGTCGGCCTCAAGCTCCGCACCGGCACAGCCAGGTTTCTTTGCCTTCGCTTCTATATCTCGTGGCCATTCTTTCGGGGCCGGCCATTGCTGCTGGCGCTGATGATTAATCCATCAAGCGATGATTTCTTATTCAGCAGCAGCAAATCAGGAGAGAGGATCGTTTGTCATCGTGCAAGGGATCTCCTCCCAAGCGCAGCCAGCCATCCCGCTTCCCCGGTTAGCGATCGGGCGCTCGGTCGTCGCCTCGATCACTTGGGAAAATTAAAACGGTGTTAATTCTATTTTTAACAAAAATATATATATACATTTTTTTCCTTTCAGTTGTACTATCAGATGTGTATTTTATTCTCTTTCTCCTTAGTACCTTCCCTGATAGGAAAATGAATGAACGGGATCGCTCTTAGGCTTGGCTTGTTGTTCAAAGGCGGAGTTGTATTCATTTTTCACATCTCGGACGAACCCTCGCCTCCGCCTGCCTTTGTATCAACGGGAAAGGCCTTCGGGTTTTCGGAAAATAACTTAGTCGGAGGTCAGTGGATTCTCCTTACATATATATATATAAAAACGAGAATAGGTAAACATTCACGGAAATTAGAGCGAAATTAATGTAGAATTACGATAATGACAAGAAGCTTCGAAGTGGAATGTGGGTACAAGGAAGTTCGCCAGCTGATTAATAGATTTTTATATAAAACTAGGCTGAGGTGAAAATAATGGGGCTTCGTTTCATCCAGCTTTCGACCAGAAAAAAAGGGGAAAAAAATCACCACAACAAACACAGGAGAGCGAATGGCAGCCTCCCCGCGCGTAGGATTCCAGGTCACGAAACTACAGAACGTAAAGCCCGAGAAGCAACACTTGAACTTGCAAGATTGAGTAGCAGGAGACCTCCTTAGGACGTCTCACCCCCCCCCCCCCCACACTCTTCTTCATCTCCTTCCTGTAGTCTCTTCTCTTTCCCCTTCTACTTCCTTTCTCCCCCCCCCCCTCCCCACCAGCATTCTACTACCTTTCTCCTCCCCTCTCCTTTTCCCTCACCCCCCCCCCTTCATCACCCTCCACCACCTACTCTGCTGTCCCCCTTTCCCCTTCATCCCCCTGCGCTAACCCCATCACCCTTCTCTCCCTTTTCCCCTTTCCCCTCCACTCCTCACTCCCTCTCCCTTTTCCTCTCCCCTTTCCCCTCCCCTCTCCCCTCTCCCCTCCTCCTTCCCCTCCCCTCTCCCCACACACCCTCCCTCCCCACCTCCCTCCTCCCTCTCCTCCCCCCTCCCTCCCTTCCTCCCTCCTCCCTCCCCCTCCCTCCCCCCATCCAAAGCGTCCTTCCAGGGTGAGCGAAAGGAAAGGGAGAGGGCGTCGCGGCGGCCTCTGAGCGATCCTTAGAGGGCGAGGCGGCGGAGGGATGGATGATGCACGCACCAGGAAAGGACCCCGATTACTGATTAGATTAATGATTTGATTAATTTAGCTCTGGTTATGATTAATCAATGAAGGTGACGATTAACATTTTTCACACTGGGGTTCATAGAAATTTGACGGTTTTTTTTTTCTCCTCACTCATTCTTTTCTTTTTCTTTTTTCTTTTTTTTTCTAAAGGAGTCGAGTTTAAAAAAAAAAAAATTAGGCGTGAAAAATGACGTTGTGATGGACGGAGAATACGGACAATAGGTGTCGCTCTCTTTCTCTCTCTCTCTCTCTCTCTCTCTCTCTCTCTCTCTCTCTCTCTCTCTCTCTCTCTCTCTCTCTCTCTCTCTCTCTCTCTCTCTCTCTCTCTCTCCTCTCTCTCTCTCTCTCTCTCTCTCTCTCTCTCCTCTCTCTCTCTCTCTCTCTCTCTCTCTCTCTCTCTCTCTCTCTCTCTCTCTCTCTCTCTCCTCTCTCTCTCTCTCTCTCTCTCTCTCTCTCTCTCTCTCTCTCTCTCTCTCTCTCTCTCTCTCTCGCTCTCTCATCTCTCTCTCTCTCTCTCTCTCTCATCTCTCTCATCTCTCTCTCTCGTCTCTCTCTCTCTCTCTCTCTCTCTCTCTCTCTCTCCTCCTCACTCTCTCTCTCTCTTTCGCTCTCCTCTCTCGCTCCTCTCACATCTCTCTCTCTCTCTCTCTCTCCTCTCTCTCTCTCTCTCTTTCTCTCTCTCTCACTCGCTCTCTCTCTCATCTCTCTCTCTCTCTCTCATTCTCTCTCTCTCTCTCTCTCTCTCTCTCCTCTCTCTCTCTCTCTCTCTCTCTCTCTCTCTCTCTCTCTCTCTCTCTCTCTCTCTCTCTCTCTCTCTCGCTCTCTCACTCTCTCTCTCTCTCTCACTCTCTCTCTCTCTCTCTCTCTCTCTCTCTCTCTCTCTCTCTCTCTCTCTCTCTCTCTCTCTCTCTCTCCTCTCTCTCTCTCTCTCTCTCTCTCTCTCTCTCTCTCTCTCTCTCTCTCTCTCTCTCTCTCTCTCTCTACTCTCTCTCTCTCTCTCTCTCTCTCTCTCTCTCTCTCTCTCTCTCTCTCTCTCTCTCTCTCTCTCTCTCTTCCTTTCTCAATTTTTTTCCCTTTTGGTCTCTCACGACGCTGGAATATTATTAATGGCAACGGAAATTAGTAGATTATTTTCTCGCATAACGTAATAAAAATCTGAATAATAATGAGATGATTGATGATAAAGGCTAAATAATGATAATGATAACAGTGGTAATAGTAATAATGATAATCATGATGATAATAATGATGATAATTGTAATGAAAATAATATTGATAATAACAGTAATGATGATCGTAATGATAATGATAATTATGGTAATAATAACAACAATAATAATAATAATGATAATGATGATAATAATAATAATGAAAATAATGACAATAACAATAATAATAATAAGGATAATAATAATAATAAAAATAATGATAATAATAATAAGAAGAAGAATGATAATATTAATAACAGTGATAATAATCATAATTAAGATAATGATAACTATTATAATCAAAAGTATAGTTATGATGATGGTGGTAATAAAAACAATAAGGATGATGCCAATAATAAAGATAAGACGATGAATTATGATAATAATAAAACAGTAATAGTAATACTAGTAATGATGATAATAATATTAATGATAATAATAATGATATTAATGCTAATAATAGTAATAATAATAATGCGCATACGTTTGATAAAGCCGTCAGATCTGTGACTCTTTTGACTGATAAACAATAGCGTCATTTTTCGTTTTAAATTTCAGACGACTTTTGACAGAAAATCTAACTGTTGTCTATATTTTTTTTTTGTTATGATAATGGAGACTATTACCTAATGGATATGTCTATGGTCATTGACTCTTCACTGGCAAATTATTGTATTTATGAAAATGAAAAAATAACAGTGTAATTAAAAGTATGTAAATATTTATAATAGTATTTGTGTTTAGTAGGATGTATAGTTGTAAATGACAATGGTGATAATGATTATAGTGATGATAATGATAATACTAACTTTAATGGTTGTGATGGTGATAATAATGCTAAGAACATTATTGTTATTATTTTTGAAATTATTATTATTAGATATCATTATTGTTATAATGATTATTATTGTCATTATTATTCTTTATTATTTCTTTCTTATTATTGTTGTTGTTTTTCATGTTATTAATTATCTTGATCGTCATCATCATTATCATTATCATTCTCATTATTGTAAGTGACAGTAGTATTTCTATTATTATTATCACCGATAACATTTTATTATCCTCGTTCACCGATAAATTCTATATGTAAACTACTGATGCCACTGCCACCCCATGCCCTAGCCAGCATCACCATCTCCCACGTAATATTCCCCGATATTATTTTCACACCGATGTCACGAGTAATATTCTTGAGCACAAATGACGTCCCATAGTCATCCCGTCTCCCCTCTCTTCCTCCTTCGCCGTCCCCTCTTCTCCTCCCCTGCTCTTCTCCCCTCATCCATCTCCCCTTCCATCATCGTCTTGGCAACTGTACCTCATTCTCCATAAGAAAAATTAACAGCCTTAACTCCCTTAACTGCCTGGAAATCTCATCAAACAGACAATTACTGACGGCAGATCGCGCCTAAAATTATAATCCTGAGGGCGGAAAAACACCTATCCAAATTATTAATAAAGTGCC